ATGTCAGTGGCAGTCTAGATGATACCCGCATTTCAGCAGGCCCTGTCCATCTCAACACCAGTCTGACATGATTGCCACAAAAACCACAAAAACGTTTTACTTTTCGGATAAAGTGAATTGTAAGTGAAGTCGTGATCATATATTTTTCGTTATAGCTTTATTATACGGGCTCCAGCTATCCAAAATATTTCAGCAGCTGGAGGGATTTTATCTTATAGATGGTGTATGGTTTTGACAGAATGGCACACTGCCACACTATTCCTGGACTGTTCGCGAATGTATTGTAAAACATTCTGGAATGGATGTCAGTCGAAGGCGGTTTTTTGATGGGACGCCTAAATATTCCAGAATGAGGCCTCTGTTCTTTTTTTTTGGGGGGGGGCTGTTTAAATTGCTCAATAGGTCTTCGAACATCCCAAACGAGTGTAAGGACCTAGCCAACTGGACTCTAAAATATGTGAGGGCCATTTGCAGTAGTTGGATAAACGAAAAGCTGGAGGTTAATTCGAACATGTGCTTCCCTCACTCATGAAACTGTTTTCACTCTTTGTTATATCAGTGAAATGTTTTATCAATCGAAGGAAGTCTTCACGTTAGCCAGTTCGGAAAAAAAGCCAGAAGTGGTTAGAATGTTGTTTACATCTTTTTGGAGGTCAGGCGATGAAGACTGACCTCAGCCGAAATGTTAGATTCGTGAACCACTGCTTTTGCAAAGCAACCAAGTATATCAATGGTGTTTCTATGTGGTCAGTCAAAGCTGCCATTGAACGATTTATTGGTTGTTTTGTGGTAGTAGTAAAAAAAGCCTAGGCAACAGCTATCGGGGATCTTACGCTCTGAGAGCACTTGAATCCAACAGAATATTCTCTGGTCTATAGGGTTTCGTTTACTAAGTCTCCTCTTTGTTGACTTTCCAACATTATTTCGGGCAGTGATCGATCCGAAAAATGAATGCTAAAGAGCTCACACAAGTACCTACCACAAAGCTGAACAAAGTTACTCTCGGTTCCAGATGGTTGCGTTTAGCAGGTAGACATTGAGTACGCTGGTGGCTCACAAGGAAGATTCTGCTAAGCCGCTTACGTCCGTACAATGGGACGGTTCTCAAGTTTGAGACCGGATTGGGGGTTCACCTTTTCACAATGACTTGCTTGTTTACCAAGGTTGCGAGGCTCTCCTCAAAGACTCTCACTCTTGCTTGGATATCCATTTAAATCCAAATTTAAATTAGCATGTCCTAGCTGATGGTAAGATGAGGTGACTCAGGGTTTTGAACCCGTGACCATCCGGCCAGTGATTGAACACCTGACAGTTTGGACATTAGCTAATGATATGCGATTTGAGTAAATCTCGTGAGATGAGCACTGCTGAGTACTCACACTGAAGATGCACAGTAATTCTAGGTTTTTCAGAAGATAGGGCTTCATTGACATGACGGCATCTACATTTGAGTAATGCTGATTTGCTGCTGCAAGACTGTCAACGATTCAGTCGGCTTGTTGAGCTTTCTTACCAATTTGTTTACCTTTTACCAATATTGGTTCGTTGATTTATTCCAATCCGATGAGCAGTTATCTATAATGACAGTGTTCCATCGTTCTATGTGTCCACAGCCGGGCCTCACGACTTTTGGGCATGTCTGGAACCTAGTTATCCACTACCTTATATCGAATGCCATCTCTCCAAACTTCACCGCATGGTCTGGCCCACAGTACAGTGGGCACTGACCCAACCTTTTGAAGGGAGAAGTAGGGCATATTTCTCTGACTTTTAACGTCACTGAACATGGCTGCCACGGAATTCTAATTGCTTTGAGGTCGGTCACTCTTGCTGTCATCAAATGGCAGTTGCTGGACTGAATTCTGACCTTGATCCCTGTGAAATCCACGCTGTTATTTTCATTAGTGCTCACGTTAAAACTCATAGGATTCTTCACAACGATAGGCCTCCAGTTCATCAAGGATACAGTCGTGGAATTACATCAGGTTAATTCAAAAACAGTACGGACCGTGAAGCCGTAAAGTCCGGATAGGTTGTTGGATTTCTGCATGCACATTCACTTCAACTTTGATAAGCAAATATAACAGAAAACGAAAGGTTCTCTACTGTATCCTTTCAAACCAGGTAATCAAGAAATTAGAATCTCATAATACCAAGTAGGATCCACTATGTAGACGACATCGTCGCCTTCATGAAACAAATTCAGTACAGAATGAGAATAAATTGCTCGATACTAAATAGGACGTCAACTGAAAAGCTACATCTAACCACAGTTTTTATGCCTTTTGGTGGGTGGAAAAGTGAAACTTATATGTAATGGAAGAAGACATTGGATCAAATATTAGACTACATTAAAAGCTGTTAAATGGATTGCAGGATGCATTTTGATCTGTACTCAAGGGGACCAAAACACTGCAGCATTGAGGAAGGAAGGTACTTCAAAAACTAACGTTGTCAAATCCACTGGTGACGTTTGCAACCACCGTGCCTACGTTGTTGAGCGAACCATTTACTCCTTAGCTGAGTAAAAGTCAAGCTAGAAAGGACTGTTAAAACAGCAAAAACTGGCAATAAATGCCCTATGGTTATCAAAATATTGCATCCAGAGCCGTACTACAGAATGCGGGCTAATTTCATCACTGAGTGGATGATGTCCAGATTGATTTAACAAATGGCAACTTAGCCGCATTATACTGACCTTCACAGCTAGATTTCTCTTCGTTAAATCGATATCCGGCGTCACAACTTTCTAGCGTAGCGACTCGGCGAGTGCATTTGTTTGTTGTCCTGTTAAGATACATTCCAATTGGGCAAGCTGTCATTAAGCGAATGCATAGTTCTTGTTCTTTGTCCCATACGTAATTTTCATGACACAGTATACTTGTGTCTTCCGTGCTTGATGGTGTTGTTGTCAGTGGAACGGACGCTGAGGTGCCACTAACCTCATCGATTTGTGCTGTGTAGCTGCCACTGTTTGTGGAGAATCCGACCCCACCAACCATTGTAAACTCGAATTCGTCTGGTTCGTTCGGCTGAGGGGATACTGGGTTCGGTGCGGTACTTTGTTTACCTTCATCTGACTGCGGGAGGTTCTCATGTAAATTCATTCCAGCTGGTGCCTCAGTGTCAGACGATATTAGAGGTGAGTCTGCTGTAAATTATAGACAGAACAGTTCGAAATTAACAGAAGGTGCTTCCACAAATGTTTGAAAAATATGTGTTATCCATATGTATTGTGCATCATATTCGAGGCATTCCTACTATATTACCCACAACGCACAGTCTTACTTTTTACCTGTTCCCTCATCCACTTCAATAGTATATCATATAGTTTAATCACCAGTCATGTGAGGCGAATGTCTTAATATGGTTGACGAAAACTGCCCAAATGTAAACTAGGTTCGTTGGGTCATTTGATTAGTAAGGTAATGGAAAATACGTTACGATGTTAACATCGCCAATTAATGCCATCAGTCGTAGGTAAAGAGGAACTCTGTAAGTAGTAGGGACGATAAAAGCGAGAGAAAGAGATGGTATGACACGTTACTTTCAGATAAACGGGGGAATGTGTTCGATTCTAAAAAGTTGGACAGCAATGAATTTGTGCACATACCTATGATCATAGTGTTTCTTTCAGTTAAGCGTACAAGCTTTCGGACAGGAACCCAAAACTGCATCTTTGAAGGATTCACTGAGAGCGATATACTGTTTACAAAAGCTACTAAAATGAGACCAACCAAACAGTCCTTAAATGACATAGGATCTCACGATATTGTATCTTCTGATAACGTTTGTTGTAGAGGGATTCGGTACGTATGAATGTTGAGTATCCTGATGTTTGATTCTGAGTGAAACAGTTCAAAAAATTCTATCCCCATATCGACAATTCAGCGGAGAACCATAACCAATTCCTCAATTTCTAATACGAAACCGAGAGACCTGTCGGTGATATCTTGACAAATCTACAATCAATTGCTCGACTAGCCTTCTTAGACCTTGCCTAAAACAGTTATTTTCATACATGGTTGAACCAGTTGCCTAAAATCTTGCAAATTTTCCTTTTCTTCAAAATTTTCTTCGATAGATGGACCCATTTATGGTGGGGTTTAGTTGGCTATGGCGTCACCTGCGTTGGCTGAGATGAAATGAAAAGCTGCTTCCACAATTTACTGCTTTCAGATGGATAGAACTAATACAACTGCTGATTAAGATATCCCTCATTGTCCTAAAATATACGTGAGCACATGACAGTGAATCTGTTCCGCCCATAAGAGAAATAGCTCCAAATAAAGTTGTACAAATCAATGCTGCGGGCATGCACATTTCAAAGGTCTGACTACAGAACAATAGCTGCGTTCTTATTCGCTTCTACCCATGATTCCATCTTCAGGAAGTTTAATTTCCTCGAATTCCATTATTGTCTAAATATAGTTGACTCGCCGCTCGGGCTAATTCCTCAAAGCAAACTCACGAAGTGTTGTTCACTGTATGTGTGATCGGGTGCGCTCTTGGAAAATAGAACACGATGGTATTGTTTAAAAAGATACTCCCATGACAGAGGACGTTTAAGTGAATGAGAAACTTATCACAATTTTTAGCAGTAGTGGTGATTGTACACATTGATGTTTCACATTAGTCTAATTTGACATATTTGCTTCTCAAAAGCAAATGGTTGAGATCGCCCCAGTGTTCATTATCAAGTATGTCAACCAGAATTATCAGCAAATTGGTATAGAATAAATACGGATTTTCTGGTTCGTCTCGAGCACGTGCAGCTCTACGGAACTCGTACTGGTAGCCGTTATCGAAATACACGTCAAAGTACAACGTACCATTGTTAAGTAAACTACAACACCCGGCTCCGGGACATGCACTTTTCTGGGCTGATGACCTCATTTCGTGCCATTCCTTCAAGTCCGATCCGTTTGCTGTCCAAACCAAACGACACAAACAACATTCCTATAACAGAAAACGAACGTGGAGAGGAAGACCAAAGGGAAATCTGTGCACAATTTGGCAGTTTACACGTGTTTTTTTCGAGGAACTACTTTACGATAATGATCGACAGATGCTTGAATATTCGACCAAACAATAACTAGTCTTAACATATCTTACCGCCAACCTGCCTTGGTGGTCCGGTGTTAGCTAAATAATATAGTGTACAAAAATTCCCAAACAGTGTTATTTGGGTCAAAAAATAACCGAAGGTCTAGAACACCCAGCTGGTTAGGTCGGCTAACTTAAAAACGGTCCCAGGTGCTGAAGAATGGAGTATAAATGAGGAAATTAGGTATTTAAAAGAAACAGGTTATCAATAACTCCATTATCAGGTTATTTAAATATTTTCACAAAATCAGTTGAGTAATTTGTGTACTTCTGTTTTTCACGACAAGCTATGTGTCAACGATTACAGTCGATGGAAGCTTTTCATAGGTTAACAACTCATTTTTGAATTTTATTCCCTAAAGCGACATTTCCGTTTATTGGTCTTTTCCCCCACAATCTCTGATGCCAGTCTAACACCACACATAGAGAAGGTCATAATGACCCTGATCTCAACTTTAACCGGCACGGCTTGCGCCCGTACAAACCGGATGGTAATCGCCCGCCACCTGTTCAAGAAGTCCATGGTCATCACAAATCTCCAGGGTGAAAATTGGGACTGCTGTCATCCCCACCTGGAGTGGCAATTATTTTCAGTCGAAGAATTTTCCGAGATACACAGGAAGATAAGTAACTGTGATTCAGATAAGATGTTCGCTCATGATGGTAGCACTAATCTGTTGACACTTGCGAGTATATAGTTTTTCGGGAATTCTTTTCAATGGGTCTTTGAAAAAAACAGTAGATTTTTCCATTTATTGGCAAGTTATTTGTGACATCGACAAGAATATGATATCGGAAGAAAGAAGCGTAGGAAAAAATAGCCGTAGAGGACAAAGAGTAAACCTTATGAAAACATACATGGAAGTGAAGTGAAAAATTATTTGAAGTTCCCAACAATTGCGTTGAGAGTACCAATGGTAGACCTTTTAATACAAACTGAACAAAATACTATCCGGCCATTACGTCTGACCTGAACACCTCTCACTATGTAGTTCTTGAATTCGAAATGAACTTGGAAAATCTCTGGAGTTACCTGTACATACATTCACTTTTCAAACAAAAATCGATCGCCATGAGTTGTCTGTAAAGAGAATTAGGTGTACTGTCGAGCGAAGAAACGAGAACCTTTCAGCTTGTTTCAGAATCCTGCACATAAGTGTGGCTTTGTTCCTGTTCCCCCTTGAAGGAGGTACAAACAATAAAACTACCATGTAGTGTTTCAATGGGATAGCACTCGAAACTTTACGGATAGGCTAAAACAAATGGAATAATTTACCACTAGTTTAACGTCCAGGAACGTTGGTTTCTGAGTTAAAAATTCAGTAACCTTCGCCACTAGCGGAAATACACACAAATCAATGGTATGCACCGCGCGTTACAACAAAAAGTGGTTGAATATTCTTTCAACCATTGGAACAGACACCCCAGTAGACTGACTGGAAAACATATCTTAGCAGTAAAGGGATGATATCTGGTGCAAGGATTCCGACCGCATCAACTAAGGGGAAGTTCGAGCACTTTAAAAATAAGTCAATGTTCCTGTTCCCCCTTGAAAGGAGGTACAACAATAAAACTACCATGTAGTGTTTCAATGGGATAGCACTCGAAACTTTACGGATAGGCTAAAACAAATGGAATAATTTACCACTAGTTTAACGTCCAGGAACGTTGGTTTCTGAGTTAAAAATTCAGTAACCTTCGCCACTAGCGGAAATACACACAAATCAATGGTATGCACCGCGCGTTACAACAAAAAGTGGTTGAATATTCTTTCAACCATTGGAACAGACACCCCGCTAGACTGACTGGAAAACATATCTTAGCAATAAGGGGATGATATCTGGTGCAAGGAATCCCACCGCATCAACTAAGGGGAAGTTCGAGCACTTTAAAAATAAGTCAAAGGATTATTCAGCATTCTTGATCGAACTGTCACTGTTTTGTACGTCTGATTTATTTTTACGGAAGAATCTTGAATTTTGACGTTCTCACCAAAAATTCGGAAAATCAGACGAAAACAGACTGTTAGTGTACTTCTACAGTGTTAGATAGTTGTGGTGCATTTTAACCAGTTCAAGAACCGAGCCATTTAGTGCACGCAATTTGCACTGTGTAGAACGCTGTTGGCTACGAATCTCTCGCAGCCTTATCTGTCTCCGGACGTTGCGTAAAAGTTCCACAACTGACACAGTGCTGGGGAAATGCCTGTGCACCTACCAATGGAGGATTACGACAAAAGCGGCACACCCATAAGTCTTGGAAATCACAGATTGTTTGACTAAACCCCAAAGTAGATTGTATCAAGAATATGTGACTTTTTCTGGTGGTTTATGCATAACCAAGTACTTCCAAGCATGAAGTTACCCTGTAGATGAGCTACATGGTAGAGATGTTTTACTGTACATGGTCACGAGCATCTAAAGTAAATTCGACTATTTGTCGCTGTTGTTTTGTCATCATTTGTTTTAGCAAGCTCACCAGCTATAAGAAGACGATACGCTCCAGGTCATGATTCAGGGAAACCTCGATAACCAATTACAACAGCCAACTCCGAGAAATGCTATCCCCCAAATTAATTGACCATGGCTATACTAACTCGGAATAGCTGGATATTCCCCTTCGAATCACTATAGTCCTCATATATCCTACATAGGTCTCATACGCTAGCCGTTGAATTTCGAAGTCAAAACTGATCGCGGTCAGTTGTGGCAGTAACAAGTTAGCAGACGATGTAATATTCCAATATGACGGATGCATTTTACCGAATTTTCACAAATGATGACATTCGCTTTGCACAGCGAATTTCTTTCAGATTTGATGCTCAACACAACGTGAAAAATCTTCTGTGTGCTGATGTCTAGTGCTTCTATTCTCGGAGTAGTTTTCTACATGTTCGTGACTAACTCAAAACATCAGCATTGTGTAAATGACAGAAATGATTTCAATCACTAGCTTACAGATGCTTGAAACCACATTTCTGAGTTAAATGCTAAATTTCACTATGTGTTCTCCCCAATAATTAAATTTGTTATACCTCCTCAAAAGTATAAATAACTCATTAAATCGCAAATTTTGGTGTTCACGCAGCCGAAAGTGAGTGAGCTGATGAGTACTTTGAATTTAAGAATCATTGCTGATATCGTGGCATTAAATATTGTATTTGCATATTTGTCCTTCCTTCCAGGTTTCTTCTTTTACACTCCATCTAGATTAGCTGAAGATTTGTATCCTGCTTGTTGTAAAATGTTTTCACCGTATGTTCGGGAAATGGATACATCCCCTATATTTTTAGAATGCACGTTTTCTGGTTGGACTGTGATACAGCATTTAACGATTTGATCCCAGAAACATTGGATGCCTTAATTAACCATTCTCACTTGCTACCAACCTTTGCCACACCATGCAGCTGTATCTCGACGGTTGTATTCCACGCTTCATCTGTGCATCTTTGTCCTCCGTTTCGAACGACGTGCTCCGAACCAATGCGACAGGCTCGCCTTCTTCTCATGGACACGCAGCACAAATGCTTTACTCGCTGACACCAGTCGCGCTTGGCATAGGACAGGTTCGACTCAACATCGTCTATCTACACAAGAAAGATTAAAAACAACTAGTTAAAACAACTAGTTTTTAAAATTGTTGAGCGTCGGTTTGTTTGCTTAATCAAAAACTATTCTAAAAAACGTGAACGACCCTGACAAACTCAAGTCACTTGGAATGCCTTCCCCCATGATTCTACTCCATAAGAGGAAGTGGCTACGTGTAGTGAGCTCAGGAGTGGGTGCTTCCATCGAAGGATGATTCGAAGAGTATACTCGATCATGCAAGCCGAAAGGATTTTTTGAAAATTCATACCACGTTTTCTTAGATGGATAATTGGGGTACTCTCCTATGAAGCCAATCGGACATTACTTATTGTCGTTAAAGGGACAGAGGAACATACCGTTAACTTCTCAAGTAAAAATGTCAAAAGCGTATCCAAAAAACAAACGTGACCTGTAAAACGCCCCTAGATGACGTCTCTATATGGACTTTGACGAACCACATACTCCGCGCACATGTCTCATTTGAAACACACCTGATTTGAGCAGTGTTATTTTTTAGTCTTACTTCAATTTGGACTCCGTCTAGTTATTCATAAGTACTGCATATCGTTCGATCCAAGTGAGTTGCAACTATCCACAAATAAATCCAACAATAAAATTATTGTACGGATTTCCATCCTAGTAGTATCCACCTTACTGCCGAGCTAGAGCAGAATGAGGAGTCAGGATGCTCCATGCTAGTGTCTAAAAGGAGGCCAAAGTGACTACGGATCTCGAAGTCCACAGAGATAAAACCGGGACAATCCGTTGCGTTCACTTTGATAGGTTTATTGAGTTACAACTGAGGCTTGTTTGTTTTGGATGCCCAAGTGAGAATCACACATNCCGTTCTTGGGACTCAGTCTTGCAGAACAAAATCATGTAATGAACAAGAATAAGGATTGTTCGGTTGAGTAGACACCCGTCTGCATTAGACCTCCCTTCCGAGCTGGTTACAAGAATTCTTCGTAATTCTGTTGATATGATAAACATGGCCACTATTCTGTACTTGAATCTCAGTTCCACCCCCATCAGGTTTTGTTTGAGGGACAAGTTGCTACATTTTGCCACCAGCTCTGGTGTGTACTCATTTTCATTCTCATGTCAAGCATCATGCGCTGGTCCTTGGATAAATGATTTAATGGGTACAATGCAAAAACGCACTCCAATGTCTCTGAATGAGGGCAGGAAGCAACAGGGCTCAAGTGCACTCGTGCCGTATATGGCCGAAACTAGTCATGTCATGGTAAATAAAATGAGCGAAACTGCTATTTCTTTAGGTTATTAGGCCAAATACGGATCCAGTATGGTTAGCTAAATAGGGAGAATGTCACTACTGTGCTGAGATGTCAAGTAATAGAATTCCACCTGGAATTTGATCTTCCAGTCAGATAAACTGAATACCAGGCAGGATAGTTAACGCCTTTGCGCGAAATCATGCGTTAAGCAGTCTGGGTGCACCCTAACATATGCGTACCGCAGGCCAAAAGACCAAAAAGACCTTCTACATCCAAAAGCATGTACCAACATTAGACTGTAGCGTTCGTGCAATGTGGGGAAAGTTAAACGCTTGGAGAGCACGATCTACGCACGGGATGGACTATTGATCCACAGCGCCCGTAAATCCCTCCAATCTCACTGAACAAAGGCGAATTATCACTCATTGTTCTCTAAAACATGGGTTGAAAACATTGATTCACCATTGCCATTGGTACACCGTGTTAAAAAGTTCTGTATCGATTTAAATTTCAGTTGTTTGTCACAGCCTACTTTTCAGTAACATTTCCTGCGCTATTGTGAATCCGGTTTTGTGCTGTCCATGAAATGATAGGCTGAACTTATGCTGTTGGTTAAAACGGAATGCACGCCTGTGAATAACCTTATAGCTCTGCGATGCTTTCAAAGCGATGAACGCAACCCACGACCGTGCAATCCAGTTATACATTCAGGGTCTGAAAAGGGTTACATTTAGCGCACTGCTATTCAACATCTATCGGTACTGCATATTAATCCAAACAAAATTGATACTTAAAAATTGATATCTTCTGCAAAAAAATAGGCACCTGTGAAGATTGGGCGAAACATGCTGTCAGAGGATATGCTGCAACAGAATATTGTCACTCAGGATGGTGTCAGGTTTATGTCCAACAGGAAACTTGTATATCATCATTTTGCCCCTTTTCATTTTACTGGTGACTGTGTTGTTTGCGGTGTCATAATTGCGTTAGTAAATATTAAAACAACCTGCTTATCCCAGAGGATATTTAGCTACATTATGAACTAATAAATGGCGCTTACGATTTCCATGATTGCTTAAAAATTAAAGGATATTTCCTAACTACATTCTAACGTTCTTCTCAGATCTCCATTCAGCTAGTTAATGAAGTTGAAGACTGCTAGGTAGTTGAGTTGGCAACTAGTAACACAGTGGGACAAGCTTGTATAGAGTACTTAGTTTAGTTATCATTTGCTTTATGACGTTCGGATAACCTCAGTGAAGCATCGCTACCAGATGGCCATCTGGAACATCGTGGTGTTTACTGATGCCTTCACACGGAACCCAAAACATCTCGTGCACAAAAGCGACTCAGAATAGCCGCCCGCTTCCACAAATAATGAAATAAAGACGATTGTTTGAGCTGAATAATTGGTGGGTTCAAACGTGAGCAGTAAAAAAAGCTGCTCACATCGTGGTGCCCAGCACAGTTAACACGCCAGTGAAATCGGCAGTATGTGATATAGCACACGTTTTAATGACATATGTAGCTCACTCTTCATCAAGTAAAATGTTTGAAATTTCTGTGGACTGACAGTAGTATCCAGCTGAAACATGGAACTACTTAGTAAATCCTCAGAAACATTTACTTTGCTTTGAAAAGTAGTAGGAAGTCCATGTAGGTCATTGGCACAATGTTGCTGAATAGCGTTTTACGCATGGAACTTCTTTCGATAATCTAGCCTATTGTCGGGTGTATTAGGGGGTTAGTAATTTCCTGTGTAACCACATGTGCTTTCATAGAATTCGCTAGCTTTTCCAGTTCACCTACTAGACTTTGCACTAAGGATGAAAGCTGATGGAAACAGAAACGGAACAGAAACTGAGTTGCACATTTAAAACAGTGTTTCGAAAACACGTAGGAGTAGCGCATGATTCCAGTGGAATTTCTTATGCAAAGCAAAAAATGAATGAACATGGACAAAAAACGGACGATGGGATAAAAACTTCACGACACTTGGGGCGACAACAATGTGGTAGGGAAGAACAGCTTCCTAATTTATCAGTTGGTGACTTTTAAAGATATGCTTTACAGCAAGCCAACGTACTTGCGGTCTTGAAATCGCATCCAGCTGCAACATAGACGCGCACGTTTCGTTCATTTGTTCGCTTTTCTTGTTGCTTGGATTGAAAAAGTCCATAGCTAGAGAAGAACTTTTCCCCATGGAACAGCACACATCAAATAAAGAGTCAGGTGAGGATTTGGGAGTAGCAGAGTCCTGTGGAGATCGAACATTCCCTGTAGTGGCATGGTCACCGTTGGGAGACAAGTCTGTATGACTGGGTTGGGAGAGCTGGAGAATGATCAAAATCAGTATTGGGGTTCTTGATGCAAACTGTGAGGGCCAGTGTTGGATGAATGGGAACTGTAAGGAACGTGGGATTCGCAGCCTGGATTCTGTATAATGCTTCATGGCAATGCCGACACATGGAGAATAGCTGAAATCGAATAAAAAAATTTAAGAAAATTTTACTGTAGGAATTGTGAAGCGAACAAAACTTGTGTTTCCTATCATGGTCTAACTACCAACTTACTTGCTGTGAACATACTAATCTCAGAAAGAAAATAAACCACAGACAACTGTCTGCACAATGGTGCTCCCAGGGAAGTATCAAATGGTTTTACGTTTTGAATGCTGAAAGAATTTTCGGGGCGAGGTGGCTTAGTGATTAGAGCGCAAATGTTTTGACAGGGAGGTTCGTGGTTCGAATCCAGCCTCTGCATCCCGACATCCTCCACCTAGGCTTGGGTAACCTGACAGTATCCCAGCCCTCGTGCTTCTTTCGGGTGGCATGGCAGCTAGGCACCGAAAGGGTGTTACAGCTGGGCAATTATATTTATTATTATTCGGGGCATCAGAGAGGCTGAGAGCTGCAGAGATTCTACCCACTGAATCAGCTTGCTTGTCATAGTACATAGGTGAGGAATAGGTTGGACACAATGCGTCACCATATTGCAGTCGTATCAGAGCAGCCAGTAGTATCAATCCCCTTCGAAAAGTGGTCATCAAAGCAACTGTGTGCCAAAAGGACAGAGATAGTTACTGGGATTGGCCGAATACATTAATCTCAAAGTTACTGACCTGGCTGTTTTGGAAAAGAAACAAGCGCAAATGAGAAGAATATCGCCCAGAAAGTGAATTTTCTAGGCTGTGAGGTAACGTTGCACCTCTTTCATACTCATTTGCAACGTCAAAGGTTTGCCAACTCTGTGCCTCGGCCACCCAGAATCGTAATAAACGCACCACTGTTTCTGGTAAACGACGTTTCAGTACATAATTCACCGTAGGTTTGATTGGATTCTCCGTCGCACAACAGAATACCGGGTTTCTAATTGTCATGTAGCGGATTCGACGACACTAGTCTGTTCGAACTACGGTTCTGAGGCAACAGTTGTCGAGAATTTGAAGGCGTCTCAGTTCTGTTGCTTGCAGGTACACCAACAGATCAGTTATTAAATGAAATTTAACTGATGGTCTATCATTTATTAGCACACCCCTGGAACACCAAGTAACTGATAGTATTTGTGAGGATGTGCCCACTCATTCATTTGTCCATGCATGCAGATAAGACTGTTTTGACCATGAAGGAGCCTAATTGGACAAAACCACAACTGGAATGCTCATCGCCGAATCAAGAGCCCTGAAGCCCATTTCATTTCGACTGTTTGAGCTAAGATAAGATTCAGGAGTATGTGATTTACTCCTTCTGACAGTATCCTGAAGATTGCTGATTGTCAGGTCACTGTTTCTTCAGAGGTGTACATTTCCCACCGAACATCAAACAAGTCACCGAAAGCACTAGAGCGCCTTAAAATGAAGACGGATTGTTAGTGCATGTTGACGAAATTTTACCACTGCCATCCACTGGATGTGAACCACATATATCTGCAAACTGTTTGTCAGTTTGGCACTAACAATCGTGTTGATGTCTCGAAACTTATGATCAACTAATCTATCAATTCGGTCGATAAGTTTAGTATTATGTGGCCGAATGATGCATGCTTTATAGACTATGCTTGTGAATCAAATGTCATGAAACTAGTATATCTGGTGACGTGCAGATCAGATCTTTAGATGAACCGCTTTCCTAAATGTGGTGTTTAATTACGTCAGCATTCATCCACAAGCTGATTTTCCGGTACTAACTCAGTTGACCGAGTCTGTTGGAACGTGTCCTCAGTCCGGTTCATACTGTTTGGAATGGTCATGACCAGAGGTTAGCTGATTGTTAGATTGCTATGACTTTATTCGTACCACAGCTTTCTGGTGGCTATGCTGCATCTTTGGGGTTGTAGTGTCACTATTGGGAACTTGCTCACCATCTCACAATCCACCTACACGTCGAAACGCGTGGTATTATTCTATTTGGAACGGTACAGAAGACTCGATCGAGGTTAGGCGGGATTATTCAGTGTACCTCCACTCGGAGTGACAAAGGCCAGCAAATCTATCAAACTAGAGATAATATAATTGCGACATGTGATCTGACAATGCAAGCGACTATGGCGTACACGGTAATGACCAATATACATGTTTCCGCGGGTTGGAGGATCTAATGCTGCCTCCCTCAAACTAGGTTCTTTGACTGTTTAAAAAATTCCGAGTCTGAAAATTCTATGATGCTATTGAGCAATAGAGTATGAAGTCGAATGCCAGTCTAAGATTCTGGTAAGTCGCTTTGTTCTTTTTTCTCAAAACAGCTGAAAGAGAACTGAAGGACAACCTGTCATGAGGACCTGATGAGTGTTTAATTTTAAAGCTCATTTCACATCAGCATTGCTCAAGTGTTCAAGGTCAGTTGGACACCAGCAATGACGAGGTATCTCGGTTTTAATAGTTAGGCTTAAGGTAGTCTTACAAATTTCAAACAGTCTTGCGGCTGTGGAAAGATTAAAAAAATGTACGATCGTTGATTGTCCTTGAGAGTACACACCAAGGAGAGGGAAATGAACCTGAATTTCACTCTTGACAGAGCTCAACAGTAGCGCAAATCTTTTGCCAGGCCAGAGATTGAACTTCGGACATATGACATGTGAGCGTGTTACCACTACTTCAATACATCACATGCGCTTGAATCATCAGATCCAAGCAGGCGATGTTCACTCTTGTGCCAATGGCTCTTATACGACAGTAGCTTTCCGTAAATATCCATATGGCGAGAGAGCAATCATGCATGCTTCAACGGTAAGAAGAGTTGTGACTGTGAACTAGCAGCAGACAACTTTTATCACAGGTAGTTTGAAACCATTTGACCTACCACGAAAATGGCTATCGATACTGTAAAGTTTGATCAGTAACTTTTGGTACTGAGCACTCGACGGAGATCAGTGAGTCCAGGCATTATTACACCAGAAGGATTAAAACCAGAGGATTTTATAAGTTAGAAAACACACCACATTTACATATGTATCATAACTGACCTTCAAACGCTTGATTGAATATCAGAGGTTATATCATCAACGATTGAATGAACTCTGCGGTATGGAGATAATAGTTATTCATTTATGTTCCTGTATTAGTTAATCCATCATTTCACATTGACAGAGCAGTTTTGTGTATACGTTTCTCAGTCCATATGGAGACTCATTTGCTTGTGCTGTAAAACTGAATGGGCAAAGATAGCGACTACCAAGAAACCAGTTTTCCGAGATTCCCGTGAGCGAGTCGCGGCTATAAGTGGACAAACAAACTCATCACCAACACTCTACCCAACACTACTACTGAGAAAGCTGTGATTCACCACTACCAGCTTATCTTGACAAATTCACAAAATGTGAGTATATTAAAAGTTGGAGGAGTTCAAGGCTACAGAAATCTGCCATATACCACCCCTTGTATAGTTCATTTGGGTGATACCGATAGAAACTGCGTGGTGCAAACGTAGTTCACACATCTTTTGCAACGGACCTCCTAGTATCTTTAACCACGCACAATGAGGAGTGCAAGGAGGGCCCAGTCCTTCGAAGCATATTACACGCGGTACGAAGACCTCGTAGTTTTCCTCACTCCAATCTGTCAGGCTAGCATTTGCTGGCAATTTTGTCCCGATCACACCTATTTAGCATGGAAACTCTCGGCTGACGATAATATGACACGTGCAGCACACGACCATTCCAGTGTGAATACAATCCTGACCACATCACACAAAGTGTCTCAATAAATATACCTGCAAATTAACTGGAACCATTGTATTTCAACAGTGGTTATTAAACACTGATGACGGTAGGTTCCAATATACTTGGGATCAATAACTCACAAAGGTCATACGTTGGCCGTACAACAACAGCTCAGAAAAGGCCTCCTGGCATGCAAGATGCGTGAAATTGTATCCTTTTTAGGCTACGGCCACAGCCAGCACTGTTTGCTGGCAAACCCGATTGCCGCTGTCGAATAGCGGTGGGCGAGTAGGAAGGTCATACTTTCTGGGACAATAATTTAGACTCAGCGGGTACGAAAGTCATGTTGAAGCATGAAGTGTTCATCTTTCCTTTTTTGAAAACAGGGCATTGAGATTCTTGGGAACCTGTTCGGAGTCGACGAAATTTTGTGAATAACAATTAAAGCACCGGAGTTTTACGTGTTCTCCTAAATCACAAAGTAGAACTAGAAAACAGAGTTAGTAAGCTGCTGAGCACTGCTGCTCACAGGAAAGCTTCGGAGGAGGTTCGCTTGTACCGTCAAGTTTAAAAACAATGTTGTGGAGCTAACTAGCTGCAAAAGTTTTGTATAAAACTTGGATCCAGAAGAAGGATGGAATACTTCCATGAGATCAAGCATTATCAGCGAGCGCATACACATGCCAAAGTTGTAATTTAGGACAGCGGATCGAGATGTTATCTACGATTACTTCAACTGCAATTTTGCGGGCATAGTTTAAAAATAAAAGGAACAAATAATAGCCGGACCATGAGATAGATAATGATTCTGTTCTGTTTGAATGTGAACTCAAGCGAGTTACACTCACGGCACATTCGACTCAACAGCCTCGATTAAACAGCTCGATGGGCATGACATGGAAGTACTGAACAGAAAGTCCGTGGTTCCAACCACAGCAAAGTCGTGGACTCACCGGAATAAGTGTACCGGGACGCCATCAGGGCCGCAAAACGAACGTCATGTGAATTTTAAATCGTTACCAGCTTATATTCAGCAAGATAATCTGTTTTCATGCGGCTGCTACCGAAAGAGTAAGGGTGATATTCAACACAGGTACGAACAAAGTAACCTTTCAGCTAAAGATAAGTTACTGCTTCAGTTTTCAAGTCGCAAGCATGTTTTTGGCTCTAATGCTAATGCCGGCTAAAACCCACACACATGGCCTTAACATGAGACGCTGAATATTATTTAATAGGCATTTCTCAAAAACACCTAGGGGTAACAAAAAAGACTGTCTGACCAGAAATCTTCTATCTCGGTGATTTGCGTCTTTCAAACAGC